TTGGTATTTCTGTTTAAGTTTATATAAGACTTAAGGTCTTCAAGATTCTTTATCAATGAGTCCAACACCATTTTTTCTTCATCTCCTGGTGTGACGACGAGATACCTATCCTGTGAATTTGAATCTCCGAGATTTATATATTATTTTCTACATTGATCGACCTCTTCAGATAATACACCATCTTCAACGCTGGCCGAAGGTATACCTACAGTTTCAATTTCTCTGCCCTAACTCGCTTCACATGGCTCACGCGACAATACACTACGGTTTGAAGTAGCCTCTATTTCTGTGGTCACCCTCCGCTCCGGTAGGAGCGCTGAAAGCCTCTTAGTTCACTTCCACTCCTTGCGGCTCGCTAGTGGCGGTAAACATAGTGTAAGATCCTCCCGCGCAGCGCCAGCACAGTGCACTCTGTATTCCAAAGACGCACCCCAAGGACAAGATGGCGCTAGCCCACGCTACCAAGAGGCACCGATTTTAACACGTATTACTCCCTAATTACGGAGTCCCACGCTTTTAACTACATAGAATCGAGGTGCAGAGTGCTTAGGCATTTACTTTCTTACCTTTCTGGCAGTTAAAGCAATAACACTAGAGACACGCAGACAAGCGAGGAGCGCACAGCGAAACACCTTACATGGCAACCAGTGGTGCAACTCTCTCTCTACTATACTACTACTGCTACTGCTAAATGCTCTGGCTACTCGCTATGCTACTGCTACTGCTACTTGCTACTGCACTCGCTACTGCTAACTGCTACGCTACTGCTACATTACTACTACTACTACTACTACTACTACTACTACTACTACTAATAATAATAATAATAATAATATTTCCTTACACTGAATAATATTAAATATATTTATAACACACATATCACTATTCATGAAACTAATTTATTTTTAAATTTGCTTAGGCACTGAGGAATGGGATTGAAGATTGTCTTAAGCTAAACGTTCCACTCTGTAATAGTTAGATTCGTGAATGAATATTTCCCAACGTGTTTTCTGAATTCTTGTCTGAATTTTGTGCATGAGAACCGCTCTGCCAAAATATGTAGATTTCCCTAATCGACTTTGAATTTCTTTCCATGCTCGAAGGCATGTGTACGCTTTATACATTGCATAAAGATGTCCCTCCTTTAATAATTAATGATTAATCTCCTCTTTTAGAGTGACTCCCATACCCTTTTATTCTTGGTACTTCACTAGCAAGATAAAATTCTGTAACAGTCTGTACAACGGGGTAATCGAGTTCTCTTCTATGGTTTACGTCAGGAATTTTTAAAATGCTTCTTTCACCTGCTAGACTTTTTGCTGCGCGAATCATGTGAGTTGATGCATCGAAATGTTAATGCATTTTCTTGTATGACCACTCTTCAAATACAGAAAGAATTTGGATTTTCATATTTGTTTCATTAGTGGATTTGAAACGACGTTGCAATTTTTCGATAATTGGGTTATAATCTGAATTCTCACACGTGGTAGAAGGATCTTCTAAATGAAAAATCTTTTCAAGAGTCTTTTTGATTTCTTGTAGTTTCTGTCAAGGATACTGCTTGTGCGTCAATTTTCTTTTACTTACACTCGATACTTCACGAGAAGACCTTTTTTAAACCCTTTTCCGGCTTATATCTCAAATTTTTAAATTTCTTGACGGTGAACATTTTATTTCCTACTTTTCAAGAATACTGCTTGTAACACAACGTAAACGTACATCTCTTCTAAAGGCATGGTTTTTCATATTAAGAGGATTGACACAACCTTCGTATCGAGAGTTTTGTTGCCTATCCATGGTCAGAGGAGGGTCCTGAGCGAACCATTTGCCACAGTGGGCGCGATCCTGCGTCTCATAGCACTTTCACTTTTCCTTTCCATTCAAACGTCGAGGTTCTGAAACTTCTTTGTGCATGCTCCCCAAGTGGTGGGCGGAGGACGCACTTCTGCCAAAAAACTACTTTTAAAAAATGTGTTTGTTTGCGTCCCATTTTTAATTTTTGGAACTTTTTATACATTAGTGTACAAATTCATGAGTATTTTTTATAACGAATGTAAGTGTTGTAAAAAATTGTACTTAAAAAATGAAAACCATTTTAAATACTGGAATAATATATTAACAACTGTTACGTTTTTACACAATGAAAGTACATATTTCAAGGTTTATTTTGAGTGTAGTTTTATTTTTCTGAAGATAAAAGTAGATCCGTGAGAAATGTTTAAACATATGCATGCGTACAAAATTTGAAAGCAATTACACAGTTATATTTCTGGAATGAGTGCATTAAAGATAAAAGAAAATATATTCGTCTTCTAATTTGACCCCTAGAACTCACAAAATGTCGCTAAAAATTGTGATGTTTTGTGCGTGTATTGGTACCTACTTTTGTTCAAAACGAATATTCTCCGACCGGTCGGGCCCGGATCGAAGATCTGCGATTTTAAAAAAGACATTCTTTAAATTTTGGAGTACTTTACACGAAGCACATCAAAGGTTTGGGTGAAAATAGCATGAGTTTGCATTTACAGACACGCCCAAATGACTTTTTCATGAAAACGGCGTCAAATTTTTCATTGAAACTATCCCTTGGCCGAAATGTATCTTTCTATAATATTCTTAGTCATTTTTCAATTATACTTCTAGTGAGTTAGGAAATTTTAAGAAAATAAGAGAGATATCTCTTAGGTTGCAGCTAAGAAGAGGGTGAATCTAGTCGAAAAAGGTAGCACACACTTGAGAGATAATAACTAACATTGTAATGTCTTTGTCGTTCCGCAGATCTACTGTGTTTCTTGCCACTGAATTTGGTTTCAACTCTCTAAATTTGTTTGAAACATTTAAACTTCTTTTTATTTTCTCACTCTCCCTTCCTAAGAAGAAAAGGTATTCTAATCGGGCGCCGGAAAGCGGCCATTTCTCCACAGAAAAAGTCTTATTGCCGAGTCTTGGTAACGAACTAGTGGTGCTACAACAGCAGAATTGCAAAAAGTTAATATTGCAAAAGTACAAGAATGAATAAAAAGATTTTTGGCTTGGAAAAATATATTATAAAACTCATATCTTTAAGAAAGGTCGTGTACATAGAAAAAAAGTTATTATCAAATAAGAAGCCTGACAATTTCTTGCACTACGAATTCGGGAATGGAAATAGTTGGGACTTCAGAATAAGCGATCTTCAGGAGATGTCACTGAAATATTTTCTTGACTTTGATCTACCTACACCATCTCTAATATTTCACACCGAGAATTACCTCCCCGAGGGAAGTGCGTAGCGCTCTCACTTCGCATCCGAAAGGCCGGATTCAAATCCAATGCCGGCCACCCTCGCCAAGGTTTACGTGGTTTCCCTCCGGCATTCAGGGGAATGCTGGAATGGCTCTTCTGAAAGACCACGATCACGAAGCCGGCGTCGCTAGCCGAATTTGTTAATCATGTGAAATCATGAAGGTTAAGTGAATTCAAGACATCGTGGGTTCCTGGTTGGGTGACATTGCTCTTTACGAGACTTATAATGACTAAGTACGAATACATATATTTTGGTCAGTTCATAACATTCTTTGATCAACGGATTTCAGCATATGAATCGGTCTCCGCACGTTTTGATTTTTTGGCTAGAGTCCAGCATTTCGAACTGGAAGAGTAGATTGAAGAAGCAAAACCGTAACTTAAAATGTACAAAAACTATGTTGACGAAAATCTTAGAATTGAGCTTGTTAAGTATGCGGAAGTTTACAAACAATTTGCAGAAGTAAAATGGCATTTCTGCCGACATTATGTGCACATTTGAATAATGCAAGTCCAAGATGCTTTCCCTAATTTGGAAGTAATTTTGAACATTTATCTTATTACATGACAATAAATTCCACTGCTGAAAGGTCGTTTTCATAGTTGAAAAAAGTTAAAACAGATTGCAAACAGTATTGACTCAACAATATTGCCATTTTAAGCAGCAATAACGTTATACTTAGGTAAAAGAGTTGTGACATAATGATTGACGGTTTCGCGGCAAGGAAATTGAGAAATGTGCCTCTTGCATAATTAACAGCATGTATTATATAGTTAATAAAAATTGATAATTATAACGCAGTTAAAGGAATGTATAATACGGTTACCGAAAATATGTACAAATAGTTTTAGAGCGTTTTTGATCTTTTCCCTGACGTTCTGCCACCAAAGAGGCTCCCCGCAAATTTACCCCACCACAGTAAAGTTTGGCCTGTACAACACTATTTCAACCCCTACGATTTGTTTTAACCCCTCAACAAGTTTTTTTAATTAAACTTGATTTTAACCTACTAATCTAGTTTCAACACCAATACCCTGATTTAATAAAATAACCCATTGTTTTAACTTTTAAGCCTGGTCTTAACCTCAATACATGGGTTTTATCCTGAAGAAATTTTAACCTCGAATCATTGTGTAAATTCCAAAACCTTGATTTAACTCCAAAACCTGGTTTTAATCAAAATCCGTGCTTGCCCAGCAAATTCTTATTTTATTCCAAAACCGGATTTTTTCTTTTTTGGAAGCACTTCTGTGGGTCCTAATAGTATGTTAGTATGACGCTACCGCTATAGATAATGCAACAAATTACGAGCTGTGGTAGCACCACTAATTGTCTTTTCAATAGAAATTTGCATATTGCATTTGCGTATTTTATGTTTTACTTTTTCAGACCTTCCTAACTTCGAAAACAAATATTACAAAAAGTTTGCAGTACAAATTTATAGAAGTTATGGCTGGTAAGGGACTTCTTACATCTACAGGTAAGGCACATACTTACAAATCTTTTCTGTTGTAGAATATATGTTAATAACAAAGATAATTATTATCTTTTTATGTAAAAAGGCGACAAATGGAGATCTGACAGAAAATTAATAAACCCAGCTTTCAGTTACAAAATTCTAGAAGAATTTTTGACTGTATTCAATTCGCAAGCAAGTGTTTTGACACAAAAATTGAAGAAGGAAGTTGGTGGTCCTGAGTTCGATATACATAAATATTTATTGCTTTGCGCCCTGGATATTTCATGTGGTAAGTGGATTTATATATATTTACCAGTAATTTTAATTTCCAATTTTATTTACCACTGATTAATTTAATACCAGAAAATCTGAATGATACATCAGTGTTCCATTATTTTGTCGATGTCAAATTTAATTTGTTAAGCTTTTTTCTTTTGAAGTTGAATAAATATTCACGAAGGTATGTAAAGATGTACCTTAGTATACATTTAATCTTTTTTTACGCTTCAAAGCCCGGGAATGGATTATCTATTACACAAAAGTGAATGTACGTTTTTTTCGCAAAACCTTTGAATTACTGGAGTAATTGCTCTCAATTTTTAAAAAAAATTGTTTATTCAAAAAACACAGGAGGGAAGGTCGCGGTACGCGAGACAGCTTTTTTTTAACAAATTATTTAATACATCGACATTGAAATAATAATTGCCTAATAAAATGAACACGAGATACGAAAATTGACGTCATGAGAATATTTTATTTTGTCAGTTGTCACGAAATTCCTCTTCCAGGGCACAGAGATCTCTTCTTAGCTTAGAGTAAGTAGTTTAATAAATATTTCTGTGTTCTGAGATATCACATTTTTCTGTGGTTAAACTTTAATTGTGTGTAACTGCCACATTAGCCTACTATTAGTATGTACATGTTTTGATAATGTTTCAAATTATTTATGATATTTTTCTAAAAGTTATTTAATTAGTTCAGATTTTTTTTTGAAATCTGGCATAGATGTTTTTTGAAAAGTTTCATCATGTATAGATTCTGTAAAAAATGACCTGTTTTATAAAATCTACATTCAATAAATGCCAGAAAGAAATCAGGGAATTCATCAAAACCAGTCGATCATTTATTTTTACTTAACGAACTTTTCTTTGAATTTTATTGAAAGAAGTGTAAAAACAATTTTTTATTCAAATCTTAACAAGTTTTAGGAAAATTATTCGTGGTGATGAATTTTGTAGCTTTGACTTTTTGTGAGATCTGCCATTCTAGTAAAGTGCAGGTTGAAGAGACGGAAGGTTGTTTCAAGATGTTCCACTTCTCTGTCATTATGCATTTTGCAGCCTTTTACAGCATTGAAACATTGAATCTATGCATCTGAGAAATTTTACACAAATGATTGACAGTTTTTAATGTGCTATTAAGCATCATTAAGTCTCGTGCTATTGGCTTTCAGAAAAATGGGTCAGCATTCATTATTCAGATTGCCATTAAGCAATTCGTGAATGTTTGTCGCATGCACGTGTTAGTCTAGAGGAAACAGAACTGTGGAAATATTATGCATTATACAAGCTGTATATGCAAAATATTATGCTGCTCCTGCTGCGCACGTTGCTCGGCCTCAGCCTCGTTTCTGCTCACGAATGCGTTGGAGCCGCCGCCGTTCTTGGAGTTGGTTCATAGATAGGCCCCAGAAACATTTGGTATCTACTTGTTTCATCTGATTTTTTAAATACGTATGATGTGTGTTGTATTTCAGTTAACTTTGTTACCTTCGTTTTTGTTACCCGTCAATCGCCAAGACTGTTTACACCGGCGTTCCACAAGACCACAAAAAAACTTGTTCCGACAATTTTTAATTCGGGGAATTAATTATATCTGAAATGAATTATTGATTTATTTCAACCCACTCGGACGGATGCTATTTAACAGTTAAATTTTGTATTGACGTATTTTTTTTGATTTCAGAATCTTCTATGGGAGTAAAAATGAATATTCAAGACGACAAAAATAACGAATATCTTCGAGCACTATCTAGGTATGTTGAATAATATTCATGAAATTTTCGGTTATAGTACCCATGGGTAAACAGAAATAGTTTCAGAGCCCAGCTGCATCATTCAAAAGTTCCATTAACCGAAATGGCTGCATTTCCTAAAAAATACATGAAAAGAGATATTACAGATCACAAATGTTCCTTAAATGACACGGAACAATGGAAGACTTACTGTACTCATTTGAATTATTTTTTCGTTATAAAATAATCTAAATATATTGTATATGTATGTGTATTAAAACCGGTAAGAGGTTTCGTTTAGAAAACCTTTTGATATCTTTACTCAACCAAATTTCATGATTTGTTTCGTGAAATGAAAGTTAGTGAGCCCTAGATATTTTATCACTTACGCTTTCTAGTATTAACAGGTCTTATAATATAAGCACTAAAAATTAATAATATTTTAAAATTATGTAATGAACGCTTTTATTATTACTTCCTTTTTTGGTCCGAAATGCAATCGATCTATTGAAAGCAATTGTCGTCTTGCGCGAGCAAACGTGTGATTGTGAGGTTATCAAATGTGACGCGAAGATAGACTTAATCTCGTACTACAACAATATATTACAACAAAATAAAATATTACACAATTTTGAACTATTAAATTTCTAAATAAGTACGCAAAAATTAAAAATTCCTGCCCTTCAAATGTTTACGTTATTAATGGTGAGCTAGCTTAAGATTATTGTGGCAGGCCACATTCGGTTACAACAAAAAAAATATTCCATCGTGTATAACTATTTAATTACTAATTAATTGCGTAAAAATGAATTTATTTGCTTTTCAAATATCCAATTAATTAATACTGAACTATTTCTTAAAATTTAAGCATGACACCACCATCGGTTTTCACACAAAAACTTATTTCCCCATTTAGAACTATTTAATTGCTAATTAATTACAAAACATAATGTAATTGCTCTTCAAACTTTTGAGTAATTAATTGTGAACTGTCGGGCACTTCTGCCGTCCGGTTGACGTCACGCAGTGGACCGCAAGCGCGCCAGACCGCCACCGCCGCCCTCCCAGCTGTTGCGGCAAATTTAAAAGAAATACACTGACGGGCCGACAGTTAAGTTCGATATTGTATTTTCTTCGATAAACAAATCAAAATAATCTAAAGAAAAATATGCCAATACTTTATGTTCATAAAGGTCCTCCATAAATTTTAATTATGATCGGTGAATTACCATATGCGTGTCCTACTCGTAATCTACGGATTGTTGGTAAAGACTTGATTTTATCGTAGTACGTAAGACATCTGTTATCAATTATTTGTAACTCAAGATTTGATTCTCAACATTCTTTGAAGGGTCTGCTAGTTTAAAATCATTAAAAGAAAATGTATATTTATTAGATATTATAAGATAGTTTTCAATTATCTGGGGCCTACGTGTAACCTAAGCACGAACCGCGACTGCGTGGTTGTGTCTTCCTACATGAACTTTGTTCTATAATGTCGCACAGCCCGCCATAATATCTTCTTCAATGGATTCGCCATATGTATAAAATTTCTGCATTTGTCTTTCGCATTCATCTTTATTTCATTTCTTTCGTAGTTTTTGTTTCGCAGACCCCTATCTGGTTTAATCATTATAAACCCTTCAGTCTACGCAGTATAAATATCCACTTATTAGTCAATTCTGAGACGCAACTTTATCGATATGTTGTTCTTCCAGATCATTGGGGAATTCCAAAATTGTAGTTAATCTTGTGTATTTGGAATTATTTTTGTGTCGTTACAAAAAAGATTCAGTGGCCTGTCACTGGCGAGGTGTAGCGTCTGTAGTGCTAATGATCGGTCCGTATTGGGTCAGTCGTAAGTGATTGCCAATGACAGAATTCAGTCGATGAAGGATGTCAAATCCTTTGTTGACGATTGATATGTGGCTACCGGGAGGTGTAATTATTTGGGTCTCTACAGTTTTTATGAGGCTTCTGTGTTCTTTATTTTGAGTGTCGTGTGTTTCCATATGCCAGGGTAGCACTGAGTTGTAGAGTCGTATGCAGTTGTTCAAGATGAGAGCCAGGTGTCTATTGGCGTTTGTCGTTAGTCTACGTAATACTTTCACTCCTTAGGGACCAGTCGCTTTTGTCGCATGAAGTTGGTCTTTGATTCCGTCGTCTGTTATAGTCCATAGGTCTTCAAGTTTGTAGTGAAGGTTGGGTACTTTCAGGAAATGAAGGATTAGATCGTCAGGTAATTGGGTTGGCAACGGTTTCTGATATAGTCTAGGGATCGTACGTCCTGTTGCCGCTCGGAAGGTTGATGGGTGAGATTATATTTGCCTTTGTCTCGTCTATCAATTTCCAGTGTTTCTGGGGATGCTTGTCGTGGCGTACTTTAGTCTGTCGTCCAGTTTGTGTCGTTTGTATCTGTCAAGTTCTTCTCGTATTTGTTTTCGTAGTTGTGAAAACAAAGTTATGTTTTGTTGTCTTCGATTTCTGAAAACTGTTTGAACGTTCGTCGTCGTTTGAGCCTTATTAGGGAACTATATGGTATAGGAGTGGAATTTTGTACGAATTGGGAACTGAGGTAGTGGATTTGTATAGGGATCTTTTAATATCGAGATGGAAATGTTCTATGGACTTGTCTATATCAGATGAGGTTTAAAGGGCAGGTAGGTATTTTTTTAGTTTTCTTGGATATAAGGTGTTTGTAATGTTTTCAGTCTTAATGATCAATGGTCTTGTTATTCTGTGTAACAAATTTAAATCAGTCAGACCAATTAATTATTCCAAAATAAGAGGTTAATTTCATACGGCCCAGATGTTGATGGTAATGACTCTAATATCGTTCTTATCTGACGAATTTGCGTTGAGTACTTTAACTTCAGTTAATCTACTCCGGTACTATTCCGTGAGGAAACCACCCTGAGTAATGTATTCCAAGAAAACCCGCTATGGGTCACCTAACTTTCGTATTTGGAAGATAGGACCAAAGAAGAAGACTATTCCGTGAAGTTCTTTAGCTGGGTGTGAACAATTGTGGAGTTCTGCCATATTGCAAGATATTTATACATAGCATCCAGTCTCCATTCATCAATACCTAAAATTGTTGGTTCGGTGGCGCAGTTTCCTGTTTTCGTACATTGAGATTAGTGCATTTGTCGTTACCAAATGACATGTTAATATCTTTACTAAAGATAGACGCAGTGTTGATTAAGGATTGCAGTTGTTTCAAGCTCCTAGCATTGAGTTTCGGATCGTCCATAAAGAGATGAGATTATTATTATTATTATTATTATTATTATTATTATTATTATTGTTACTATTATTATTAAATTTCCTTATTTAAAAAATGATGCAAAATAATAAAATGCGGATTTGTTTGATGATGGAAACATTAAAAATGATGTAAACACTTAACAGAAAGATTTCCATTTGAATGTTATGTAGAAGATTCTTCATCATTATTATATCACTATGTATAAATCTTCATTACATTAAGTATTGTATAATATTATAGCAAACTATAGTTTGAAATGATATCATTTATTTTTGTCTGCAGTGTTGAAACCTGTATTGTGAAAAGATGTATGCGACCTTGGCTTTATCCAGATTTTATATTCAATTTCACTGAATTAGGGAAACAGCTAAAGACGTCATTAAAAATCGTGCGTGAAACTGCAAACAAGGTACGTGGGTAAATGAAATAGTTATTTATTCTCAATATTAGTGTGTAATGCTATCTATAATTGTTCAGGTCTGATTGTAGATAATACAAAAAAGGAAGAGAGAATTCTCGCTCAAGGAGGACGACAGTGCAAAGAATAAACATGAAAATGAATTTGGTAAGTTAAAATTACATATCTAAACTAATGCAGGGAAAGAGTAGAATGTTGACCTGTCACAGTATGTATGGATTTTTTTTTTTTTTTTAATTTTCAATTCTGCTAATTTACAATCTGTTCACTTGGAACAATTAGTAAATGGTGTACATGATAGAAGTTACTATGAAGAGAATCTAAAGGGTAAGTCTAGAATATGTTCACGCTTTAGTCTAAGAGAGATTGGGGATGGCTCGAGTTGAGTCGCTCGTCGACAGCTAAAATAGCTGTGTCATCAGGCAAATGTCAGCCATCATTGTGCGTTGCTGTTGTTGGTAAGTCCAGAAGTATAGAATTACGTAGGAGCAGAATTGGTGACTAGGATCTTCTTGAGGGAGGCACGCAGCTGTCTGTGGCTTAAATTCAGAGAAGCCATCTTGATATTTAATTTGGATGGTTTTATACGTTTTATAAAAATGTATAGAATGAGTGCGGGAGTAATTGTTTGATTTTGCATAGCAGACGCTGGCATGGCCAGAGCCTTATCAATGCTTGCTGTAGCGTCCAAGAAAAGGTAAAGGCAGAGCAATATTTCTTTTTGGCCCTGCTAGGCTTTGAGATATCCTTGTTATAATTCGGTGTTTGATTATTAGTTGAGTGACCTTCACGAAACCCATATTGAAAGTTCTGGTATTATATTATCGTTAATTGGTTTAAGAGGGGCCGTTGTAAAAGTATTTTTTCAAATAGCTTGGAAATAACTGGGAGCGGCTTTATTTGGTCCCCTGTATGAATTGGCCCAGCGTTGTTAGGGCAGGTTTTCGCAGGTTTCGGCTATGGCTATCACTTGTGGCATACTTCCAGAGAGTCGATAAGTGGCTCTCGCTTATAATGGCGATTAAAGATGGATGTGACAAAGGGTGTGCTTGCCTTGGGTAATTCTTGTAAAATTGTCCAGTATAAGATCATTCTGGGGCTTTAGTAAGGATTTATGTGCTTTTTAATGGTTTCTTCTATTTCACATAAATTGACCGTCTTGATGGATGCCGATGTTGGAGGGGAGGCCTCGTAAATTCTATACGGTATTTCCGACATACTTCGTTTAGCTATTGGTTTGAATACTGTAGAAAAGTGGTATAGGCAAGACATCGGCGGCTTTCTTCAGGATTTGTGGGCGCCTAAGTGCTATCTTGTTTCTAAATAGGGAGATTGTTGTTGTGGTCCCCTCCCCGTTGGTTTTTTTTGTTGCTTCCAGCAGTGAGTAATTAAGTTATAGCTGTTTGTAGACAGGAATTTATCGCATTGGAAATTTGGTGTTTTGATAGAGGTCTTTTAGCTTCTCTTCTTTAGTTGCTGGGTGGCTGATGCGTTAAGTTTCTTTTTAGTCTTCAGAGGGGCTGTTGGTGTAGGCATATAGATTCTAACGAATCGGGCGTTTTTGCAGTTTATTTTTTGTGCTAATTTTGCTTTGGGGATACGGTAAGTTCTTGATTATTCAGGTTTCGGTGTTGCTCTCCAGGCAGCGTTTCCGGCACGGCGCGTATAACCTCTGTTAGATGTAAACACTGCAGTATCTATCATCATTGCTTGATTTTAAGAGGCATATTTACGGGGCTTAACGAGTTGTTAAGGCAGTATACTTTGAAATTTATCGGCCAGTTAGTAAACTTACTACAGTTTAGGTGGTGAACTGTCGGCTCAATAGGTGGTGAACTGGCGGACGAAGCAGATATCACTCTACTGGCGTATGATCGGAACTAAGGTCGTAGTTGGTTTTAATGCTTGTTGTAGCATGGGTTTTTGATAATATTCGCTTTGGTTAAGAAAAAGTTAAAAGATCAGGCGTTTTTTGTTCATAAACAGTGGGCCAGTTATGAGGTTCTCAGGTTCTCCTGTTGACAGTGTAATCACATTTAATTTGTTTATTGGGGCCTTAGTAGATTCTGCCTTAAGGTATTGAGACGTGAGGCGCCATTGTTGATGTTGCGTTGGTAGTCTCGCCGGCTATGAATCTCACGTCAAGCGTTTTTAGAAACAGTAGCAAATTGACTCTTCCGTTATTTGGTGATTTGGCGGAGACAATAAACTGCTGTTAGGGGTTAGTGGTTTCTCCATTTTCTGTTAATCATTACCGGAGAGTGGGCCTGAATTTCTTCTGTTTTTGTATTCGGTAACGGGCTCATGATGTTTGACGCGTTTTACGAATGATAACGGCCGTTCGCGTGGCAGTTCCGTCCGGATGTTCAGTCACTAGAGTAGATTTCATATCGCCCGGAATTTTGAAGGATAGCTTTTATCTGTGATCAGTGTGTTTGCAGATATAAGCATGATATCTATGGCTTGTTCGGTGAGAATTGGTATTAGCGCTCTCGCGGTGGCTGGATGTATATCATTAGCGTTGCAGAGTAGAATTTTAATTTTCCCGCCATTAACGCATTTTGGATATCTAGTGTAGTGATTAAATTAAGAAAGGGTATTTTTTGGCACGGAATTTTTTTTTTTTTTTGTTTTTTTTTGGTTTTTTTTTTTTTGTTTTTTTTTGTTTTTTTGTTTTTTGTTTTTTTTTTTTTTGTTTTTTTTTTTTTTTTTTTGGGTTGGTGGTTTTTTTTTTTTTTGGTTTTGGGTTTTTTTTTTTTTGCTGTTTCATAAATGTTTTCGAATCTCTGGAAAGGCTTTATCTAAGGATTGACTGAGTTTGTCTTGTTGTTCGTTTGTAGTTCCATGGATTAGAATAATGTTGCTTGTATTCCGCATATGGTTTGGGATTTGGATAAAATTGCCATTTCATGAGGTTGCTCGTGTTTTCTATGGGGGCGGATTGTGGGTTGGGATTGGAAGTGTTATTTTGAGGAGTGGGTGGGTAAAGGAGGGAAAATCTGAGGCATTCGGAACTATTTGCTTCTGCTTATATGTAAATGGATTTAAAATTGGAATTTTGGAATGTCTGATTTTTCTATACTTGAATTCTGGGCTTTTCATATATTCTGGTATTCTGGGCATCCTTGTAGTTGGCAGGGTGATTATCAGAAGCATAAGCGGCATATGGCTGGTGCATTTCTATCCCTTCTTGGCAGTCTTTCAGTGAAGTGTTCTTCAGGCCACATTTTACGCATTTAGGGATTTCTGGCATGCAGTATAGACTTGTGTGTCCGGTAAATCTTGACATCTATGACACTATGAACGGTCTGTTTTCTTTTTGTAGGATTCAAATTTTATGATGGCATTTACGAGTTTCTGCTATTTTGTTAGAATTCTTTATTATTTGGAGGTTGTTCAAGATGCAACGAAGAAAAGTGAAGTGGGGCGTTTAGTTAGTCTGTGGCGCGCACGTTGTGTTAAGTTAGCGGACTGTATATTCGCGAGGGTTTTTAATTGGCTGTTATCACCACTTCATTCATTTATCAATTGTGGATGTAGTATGGGAGTACAACTCTAAATAGCTCTGTCTTGTTTGAGTTGGTAAGTATGATATGCTGGCTTTTTTCGTTCGAGGCTTTATTTAATCAAGCGGAATCGCGTGCACTGTGCGTGGCATTAGTTTATTTCATTACTATACATTTTATAACTGTAAGTCTTGCTTGTTTTACTTTTTCGGGGCTTGAGAATGTGCATCATTTTGGGGACATTTGTTAAGCCGGGTATAAATATGGGTGGATAGAAGATTTGATTGCTTCCCCGGCCGTTTATTTTTGAGTTTGAGTTTCATTCATTATGAGGGGTGAATTTATTTTGTAGAGGAATCACATTTTCGCTGTCAATGTCGTGTAGGTTTAGTATTATAAATTGACTACGCATCATTCGTGCGTCTTCGTTTGGCGTAGGGCATTTACATTGGGCGCATCCGTCTGTACTTGGCTTCTTCGTGGGTTATCAGGTGTTGAGCATTTCAGTGGTCACCGTTTATCATTTTCTTGAAGGCCACGACTGTTGTTGTGGTTTTGTGGAGGGTGGGCGCGCGCCCCCGCCCGCCCAAACGCCGGCCCCGCCGCATGAAGGCTGCTTGCCGCTGGCGTACTTACGAGCTAAAATTTGTGGGTGGTAATTGAAGATGCCGTGACATTCTGCGATGGTTGACGACAGGGGTGTGGCTGGCATTTGTTGATGGTGTTGCCATTCGTACGCTGTGCTGTTCTGGCGTAAAGCTGCGTGGGATCGGTTGACTGGGCATTGTAAGGCAGATTTTGTTTCCGGTTGTAAGTTAATATTCGCTTGCACGGATACTCTGGGCCGAGGCCAGGGCAGTTTCATTTTGTTATTTCACTAATTGTTAATATTTATTTATATTGTGCACTATATGCGTTTACATACACTTCCTTTTAGCTATACTTGTGTCCGAATAGAACTTAAAGTACACAGCATAATAAAACGCTAGGTGTTTCACAGGTCGTACC